AGTGACTTTCTGTTTCCGTGTTGTTACTTTTGCAAGAGGTTATTGATACTACTTTTTTTGTCAAGTTTGCTTATCATGAGTCCACAAAATCAATGGTTTACTTGTGTTGAAATTATTTCTGCTTATTGTCTGTTTCAAAATACTGATTTTTTATCCTTCTTGGTCAGCGGTTAGTGCTGTGTTGATAAATAAAAATTCCAACGGATCTGTTGACCCGTGCCAGCTAAGAACTAGCTGACGTTCGCGGGGCACTATTTAGTGCAAAATTGCTATTCTCATTGCTATAATGAAATAAAGAACGAGTTAAGCATCTCGCGATGGGAAAATTTAAATTTATGCCTCAAGATTTTACCTTCAATCAGTTATTTTGCTATTTGCTCTTGAATGAAAAAATAATTGTTGCGGTTATTAAAAAAAATTGCGGGTCTGTGAGTGCTGAAGATTGCAAGTTTGGAGCAAATATATGATTTTAACTTTTTATTGGTTTTCACTCTTTTTTAATTCCAACAAAGGAACATTCATTTTATTTCACATGATTCAGCATTATTTTTAATTAATTTATTATTTGTTTCATGTAAAAGTTTTTAATTATTTTTAATTTTTACATTATTATTTTTTTGATTTTATTAATTTAAATGTCACTTATAATTTTCAGTTTTTCTGATTTTTATTTTTACATTTTTTGCATTTATTTTAATTTTTTATTTGTGATTTTATAATTTTTATTTATTTTTTATATAGGAGAGTCACCAGTTGTTATAGAGAGTCAGTTTGTAGTTGTTGATGCAATTAAAAAAAAATTGTTGCAGTCGGGATTATTGGATTATTTAGTCTCATTCTGATAAAATAAATTAAGGAGTCGTTTGCTTAATTATTTTCCTGTTTTATCTTTATAAAATTATTCGTGGTAGTGATTTTCAAAAATTTAATTTATTTTAGGTTATTTGATTTTTGTTGATTTTGCGATTTAGTGACAAAGGTGTCCAGTTGGAGCGCAGTCGCTATTATTGCTGCGTTAAGACATTTTTGCTCGCGCCTGCCGTGAGGTCGTTGTCGTTGCTTGCGTTGCAAAAATTTTACTTCCTGACGCGTTGGAGGTTTTGTGTTGCTCAAATGATTATGTTATTTTGATTATTAATTAATTAATATATGCTTTTTAGACCAAAATTAAATTATTTAGAGCGTTTCATGATTTTTAAATTAATGCACATAAATAAATTTAAATTTAGAAGATTTTGGTTGCGCATTGTAAATTTAAATTTCTGTACCTCCTTTTTTCGGAATCAAATTTGCATGAAATTAAATGGTTCAAAATTATTTTTAAATTAATTTATGATACTCTGATTTTACCTGAATTTTGTTGTGGATGAACGCCATTAGGGTTGGGGGTTGTTTTTCGTCTCTGGAAGTCTGTCTCAATGTCGCCTGGGTGGGTTGGGACTTCTGGGCTGTTTTCGTCTTCTTGATTTTCGAATGTTCATTGATTTTCGCCAAATTTTAAACTGTGTTGCACTTAAAAAAATTACTGTCCGCGTGTCTTCATTTCGGCTTCTTCTTCTTTGACATGAGGTCATCTCGCCGCCGTTGGCATCTCGCTGTCGAGGAGATCTCGCCGTCGAGGAGATCTCGCCGGTGTGCCTCCACGTTGTCACGAGGCCCTCTGTGTAGTCGTGAGTGACACCGTGCTAGTAGTAGAGGACCTCGCAACAGGGTGTAAAGGGTAGAAATAGTAGTACGTGAGTTCTGGATAACACTATGGATGGATTTATTGTGTAGCGCCGGACGGTACAATGGTTAAGGTCGGAATTGCTCGTGTGGGTGACTCGCAGGTGACTGTCCATGTGGGTTCACTGGATGACGGCCATGGTGACGGCGTCTCGTCGGACACTCTCGTCCAACTGCTCAGTGAGGTGCAACTCTACTGGTGCATGGCTGCTCTAGTGCATGGCCCGTGTACGACTCTCTGTACGGTCGGTGTACGACTGCCTGTACGGTCGACGTACGACTGCCCTGGCTGCAAGGCCCGTGTCCGCCAGTACGCTGTACTGCTGACAGTGCGCTAATACCTGACTCAAGCTCATCCGCTATGTCACACCGTGACAATATCCTTACTTATGTATGATATAAATATTTATTTCAGTCAATTTTCCGTAAACTAAATTCAAATGCATGTTATTTTTTTTAGATTGCAACATGTATTAGGTATTTTATAATTCTAATGAAAAAAAATAAAAATAGTTGTGTGAATTGAATTGTTCTGCTATTTAACATTTAACTTGCACAAAAGACTTATCTGTTTGACTAATGATATTGCAGTTAATATTTTTAATATGTATGAAATATAAAATTAAAAATGCAATAACTAACTTGATAAAGAAAAATGGAATGTTCAGCAAGCTTTCCGTTCTCCGGCCCCTAACTAAGTAAGATGTTAAAAATCAGTGATTACGGATCTAATTCCTTGATCATGGTGTCAAATATTGCACTTTTTTATATTTGAATAGGGATGAATGACGAGAAAGTGCTTTTTCTATTTTGAACAACGCATCAATAACGATTAAGCCATAAATGCTTTTTGTCCCGGCGCGATTAGTAAAAGACGCAATTAAAATTCCTCGTCGGCGTTGTGTTGGACGAGCCATTAAAAAAGTGATTTTATTATTTGGTGTTGGGGCGCGGCTCGCTAATTTATTAGAGTGGCCTTCATGATTCGAATTGAATCATTCCCTTGGGAGTGAGCGAGAGAAGTGACGCCGTGTGTCTTGCTCATTGTCACTATTTGAGAAACAAAAGCTTTATTTCGAGCAAAACAAAAATAGGGGTACTTTTATTTTCTCTCCGCTCCCAGCCTCTATAATAGTTTTATCACCTTCATTTGTTCAACTCAAGCTACGAGAGGAAAAAATTTCGAAAAGATTTTAAAACATTTATTTGTCTTGCTCGGAAGCAATGCATCTCTCCTGCCCGAGTGAAAAAGCTTTTTGATTCATCCATTGTCTTCGGAATCAATGACAAATTCATCACAAACGGAATTAGCCGAAAGGAGTTGAATCGGAGCCAAAATGCTGAAACATTTTTTGCCGATTGCTGTGAATAATCACCGTTTTCCGCACTTCCAATAAAGTCAACACCTCTATTTATTTGGCCGAGCGTTTTGAAACCGAAATGTAAATGGCTCGTGTAACAGTTTTGACAGGAAATAATGTGTCGCGTGAAAAAAGTGAGCGCGCAGTGGAAGGTGAAAAATTGCCGCGCTAATATGCTGGTTAATATGGCCTGTCAAAGTGCTGTGGACTTCACTCACCGCCGGATGCATTATCTTTCCTACAGACTTTGAAAATGATCCCTTCTCCAAATAGTTATAAATTATAAAAGATCACTGGAGGGTTTTTTTTAAAGCTCTTATTCGATTTTTTCTCTATCAATTTAACACTGGATTTTGACGATTTCATCTTCAAAATATTGAAACTTTGGGAGGAGGGGGTCTAAAAGAAGCTAAAAAATTTGTTAAATAAAAAAATCATCGGACTGTGAGACAACCACAACAATATATATTTTCTGAATTTATTTTATTTAGCCATTTTCTACATATATTTTGTGAATTTTTTTAGTTTTTTACAAAAATTTGCGGATGCCACAAAAGTATTTTATTAACATAAAGAAATGTTTAAAAAAAAAAAATGTTTCAACCACTCTTAGGAAACAATCGAAAATATCAATTTATTTTAAATAAAATACTACTTTTATTAAATTTATAATATAATATTATATGAATCTAAATTTTTAATGATCTCTAATCTCTATGACCTTCTGAGCTATATGAACTCGGATTTGAAAAGCTATTCAAATGCAAGTGATTTTATTAAATTTTTAATATAAAATAAAAATATTAACAAAGTTAGACGAATGGGTTTCCCTTCAATAATAAATTTAATTCAATTTAGACTGTATACTTAAAAATGGCAAAGAAAAATGTGCCCTTTCGCTCTGTTGAACAAAAAATGGTCTGCAGGAAGATGAAAGAAATTCGTGTTTAATGTCAAAGGGTTGAGCAGGAGATATTTTCTGTGTGTCTTTGTGCAGCTTGGATGCTCTCTAGCTTGGTGTGTGGGCGCTTAATATAAGGGACGTGGATTAAGTGACGCGTCACTCAGCCACCCAGCAGGGTAAATTTAGAGTCACTCCAAATTATATACACATTCCTTTTTTTCTCGCGTATATATACGAAATAGATGATCTCACCTCTAGAAAGAAAGTACAAGGCAGAGGTGTATAAACCTCGCGTGTAAAATGAGTTACGGGACTTGGAAATAGCCGCGACTCTGCTTTGAATTATACTCGCGTTTATTTGAATATACATCTAGATTTTGCCGAGATAAATACAGCTTGGAAATTGTTCACGTGCGTGCGTGTTAATTAGTGCAGGCTCAAGATTTGTGTTACGCGCTGTGTGTGGCACTAAAAAAAAAATTATAAAATTAAAATAAACGTAACCATTTTTTTTGAATACACGAAGATTCACACTTTTACTAAAACATATTTTTAAAATTTTATAACATTTACTTATTTAATCATAATTGTTGCGCATTATTTTATTATTTCTATTTTATTTAGTCGGTTTATTTACCGATTTTTTATATATAAATAAATTGATTTTGTCGAGTGGTATGGTCATTGTGCACTTGTGAAGGGTAATCTCATGAAATTGGATTGAAGAAATAACATTTTTGAGATTTTTTGGTGATGTAATTCGTGAAACAAAACAAATAATTCAAATATAATATTTTATAAAAATAGTTTATTAAAATTGACGGTAAACTGTTTTTATCATGGATTCTTCAAAATATTTATCAAAAAATTTAATTTTTACTTTCAATTTTTAAGATGGATAATATACTTCCTGATGAAATTTTCCCTAACCAATGTCAAATAAATGAATCAATGTGAAAATGTTTTAATTAATATGCTAATGAATGATTGCTTGTCTTTTTCTGTTGCAGGGCCGAATGAGTTGTGCTCGACCGGAAGCGACAGCAGTGGCACCTCCAGTCTCGACTGCCTCAGTCTCATTGTTGAGCGAATCAGTCCAAGACCTTCCGAGACGACCCTGACAAGCAGAACGGAGGTCGACAATCAACCTGACTACATGATGCAGCACTGACTTATTGGAGATTCAGTGCCTCGAACGAAAACTTTGCCAAAGATCAAAACCAAAAATTATATTCAGCGAGTGCATTTGTTGTACCAGACAGACACATGTGCTCTTGGAAATTAATATTAAGTAAGTGGCCTTATTAGAAATAGTGTTTTTATTTTAATTTATCCAAACTATTAAGCGCACGTGAGAATATGAGATTTACATTGTATAATTTTTAAATATAAATATAATAATTAGAACTGGAATTTTGTTCTGATCATAAATCAGTAAGTGAAATTAAAACTTCACAATTAAATAAAAATCATATTGAGTATAGCATTTTGAGAGGCTTGTAAAAATTTATTATGAAATAAGTGCCTTATTTTTACTGTACTAGATAAAATCTATGCATAAAATAATGCAATTTACAAAACATTTTTGAATTCTGAAGTATTTTCAAGGTATATGAATAAAACAAATTATTTTGAGTTGCAATCTGAAGCAGCCAACGTTTTATTTTTTAACCCTACCAAGAGTGAACAAAACACCTTCTGTTTTCCTAATCATAAATCGGGCGCTAAATGGCGCGAGAGCAGTGAAGTAAAAAAAGGAAGGAACAGAAATTTCTGATTATTTATCTTGTGCACATTTGACTCGGATTCAGTCGCAGGATCCATTTCTATCGTTTCCAGATGCGACAAAGCCGAGTCCCTTCTGTACCGTCGCAATATTTTTTAATCTCCGCCATCTACTTTGCTCTCAGCTGCAGACGCAAATCCCCCAAAGACACCCATGAGAAAAGCAGCCGAGAAGGAATTCGAGACTTTTGTTTTGTTGTGATATTCTCTAGTTTAACAAAAATCAACAGGCCTGAAGTGAAGAACTCGAGTCTCGTCCGTTTCCCTCGCATTTAAATCTTCGACGGCCGCGCTCAGAAATAACAGTGACTTATTGCCTGTCTCCTCATTTCCAACTCAAATTCTTTTCTTTGTCTCAAAGTGTGAGCGTTATTATTTCTTTGTTGTTTTCAAAGAATATTAATTGAATTGCTTCGCTTATGAGATTATGTAGAGTAAAGAGGAAAATGAAATTATAAAACACACTAGAGAGTTGAGGGAAATTTTAAACTTTGGTAATTTTATTGCACACACACACAAAATTATTGATCAAATTGGTTAAACTTAAAAAGAAACGCATTAAAATAGTAAATGTTTGATTGCAAAATAATGAAGTTTATTAATTTACCACAAGGCAATCTGCCCAAATCGAGATTAGTATTTTTTCTTTTAAAATATTTTAATTTATTATAATCTTCCTGGTGATTGTATGATCGTTATGTTATACAAATCAGTCTTTGTCTTAACTTTAATATTAGGTTGGAAAGTATCAAATTCGATATTTTTAAATTTATTAGGATTTCTTTTAAATTTCCTATAAGCTATTTGTATTTCATACAAGGAAAACTTGTGTTTACGCATAACAATCTATATGGGAAAATTAAAAGAATACATAGTTTCTTAACCTCAAATAATATAATATTAATATTCACTAATATTAATACTTAAATCTAATTTATATCTAGGAATTAATAAAACAGTTTATTAGAAATAACACATTAAACATTCATAATTTTTGCTCATCTCAATAATGCACAATAATTATTATCATTGAATTTAACTCGTGAACATTATCCAGAGAAAATAAAGTGAGCCTTTCATATTATAATTTGGCGCAAAACACCCTCTTTTTCTTTTTTTCTCCCCTCGTAGTTTTTAAGCTTTTGAGATTTTCCCACACGAAAGGTGACACACTCGGAAAGTGACAATCCAAATATGCCACAACTCTCGAGGGTTAAGTGGTGTGTTTAGGCTCTTCCTCGGGGGTGGGCCCCTCAGGGAGCGTGCGCCACATTTTCACTTGGAAATGTGTCCAGCACGACCGGAAACAAATAAATTACCAATTCATGTCAACAGTTCATATTTATTTTTAGTTGCATAGTGAGTGGAAAATTTGTAACAAGCACCCCCCCCCCCTTTTTTTAAATTTTCTGCCCACATGCAAATGAAAAATATTATACAAAATAGAAGAAATTTTTTTCAGGAAATTAAGCAATTGAAAAAATTGTTAAAAAAATAAATTAAATAAAAATTTATCAAACCCTCTAATTGTAAGTTAATTAAGGGAGACGTTCAAAAAGCATTGTATGAAAATAGAAATTATTATTTTTGCTTATTTGTCCATTGTTACAATACATTGTTTACATACAATTGTTGAAATCGAGTAATAAAATAATTTGTTCGTAAACTTTTATGAAACTGTCATGGATGCTTATTTTTTTCTTTTTTTGCATTAAATAAGATTAAATTGATTTTCCCCCAAAATTTTTAACTTCCAATCAAAGAGAAGTGAAGGATTTTTAGCGTCTTAGTTTAATTTTGGATGAGCGTCTTGTCTCAGCGATGTTTACAGTTTTTCCTAATTCTGATTTACGACTGCATAATGCGAGTTAATCTCATTTTGGTGAGTTAATCTCCAATACGTGATGCATCCCTGCTCTCGGCGTGGCATATGAGTAATTTGTGGCCGCGCGGCTCTAAATCCTCTTCACTTTTGCGTCTCGTCGCCAAGCTCCGCAGTCTGTGTACTTGCTTTGGGATATACGTGTGTTTTTAACTTCTTTTGCCACGTCTGTATTATTAACTTTATGATCTCGTTTGAGGTTGAGCAGCAGGAGAAATAGGCTCCTCACATTTACACTCGCCAACATCATGTGCATAATTCTTTTTGTGGTTCTCATAATTTTCAGCAGTTGGAAATATATTTACACATTCAATCTGGTATGTACACAAAATTTAGTTATTTGATATATATAATTATAACTTTTCTCGGTTAAATTAATGATATTAGGAGATTATAAGCCACTCAAAGGTTAGAAGAAAAGGAGTTAACAAATATTATAATATAATGAAATCATATAAACTATTTTTTCGATGTGTATGTATTAATACATAATTATAATGCCCATGGCATTATAATTGAATTATTTTTTTAAGTAGAGAATGCAAAAACAAATTTTTAGAAATATTCTTAAAAAATAAAAATTAGTAAATTATTTAAATTATCAATAAAAAACAAATTATAAATAATAAGTGGCATGTAGGAAAATCCATAAGAAATAAAATATTATTATTTATTAAAAAAATATTTTTACTTGCTTTAGATGCCTTCTATAATTCTTTGATTGCGTGAGTACATACAGCTAAAGACATAATGAACTGAAACCTTATACAGCGCCTTCTTTTCTCAAATTCTAAGATGCTGCAGTCTCTAAAAGAATCAAATTAGGGTTTTCACAGTAAAATTGAGCGCCAGAGATTTTAAATATCTCATCCACTTAAAGGAATTTTTTACAAATCAATAAAGTTGAATTATAAAACATTTGAATCTTTCTAAAAATTATTTAAGATTATAATGACAGTTGAATATTCTTTTAACCGGTCCTCAACAAATCAACATAACAATTATTTTACAGTAGCATTATAACAAAGCTAGAACCTAACAATTTTTTTTTCAAATAATATGAAAACATTTAAATTTCAACCATCAAATTCTTTATTTATCTCGTTTCGCACAGCTGTACACATTCTTACAAAACTAAGCACATTTTATATAATTATCTCTTTCTCTTATCATATTGTTTACAAAGGCAGTCTTCTCCTCTTAATCAGCAGGTCAAAACCCTCTTTGGCCTCCACATTTGCATATTTTTGATCGATATTTGTTTTCTTTAAAATTTTAAAACTCTTTTATCCCTAAAACGATGTAAGACCACTCTGGAAAATTGTCTAATTTCTAAAATTTCGTTTGATTTGGCAGGATATTTTGTGCTTCTGTCTGCAGGTCTAAAATTTAAATTTTCCCTATAAAATACTTTTTTTGTTAAATTGTCACAATTTCAGCATCACTTTTTCCCTAAATTGGCGAGTGGTCTTTCTTTTTTGTCTGGAATGTTTAGTTCAAGCGACGTCCTCTGTTCTGTGGACGATGGCCGTCGTGTCCAGAGTGTCCGCACCGGACACCGACGCCTCGCTAAAGGTGCGCTCGGGGTCAATCGAGTCCGTTGGACTTTGAACAGCGGACGTGTCTGCAGACTTGATGATGGGGAAGATTAATTTGGGCCGAGAATCAGGGGTTTGGGAGAAAATCGCGTATCCGGCAGAGGAGCCAAAGATGACGGACAGGAAGAGCCAAACGTTGAAGGACATGACGGCCAGCATCTGCAGATAGGCGGCCACCGAGTACAAAAGGTAGACGGCTGTGTCTGAAGAGTGGCTCATGCAGGATTGGCCATTCCTAAAATATAATAATCAGTTTAATTCACTACATATTTTTATGCTGTTTGATGGCAGATTTTATTGTAAGTAATAAAATAACTATTATTAAACACATGAAAATTGCAAGAACAAAATTACTCTTCAATCAATTACATAGTTAGGAGAATATTTGTTTAGCCAAAATTAAAAACATTTTTATGAAATTAAAACTGCTATATGTTTTTGTTTATGTAAGTAAAATATTAATTATATTATTTAAATATAAAAAAATTAAACATAAATTTAAAAAATTTGTAAAAGTTTTATAATAATATTATAATTAATAGTAAAAATCTTATATTGTTATATAAGTTACCGTTTTAACAATTTTATTTTATATTTTTAAAAAGAGTAACTAAAAATTGAGAATTGAAATTTATCATTGTAATTAATGACTTTAATAGTGCAATAAATTAGCAAATGATATCGAACTTTATTCAACAACAACAAAATCTGCTCTCCAACACGTTGGATAATATTAAAAAATAGTTCATTACCTTTTATAATTTAATATATAAATTAATTATATAAGATATTATTGATTTTTGTATTGGAATAGCATTAAATATTTTAAAATAAAAAGCTACCTTTCTCTCCTGTTTCTTATCCTGACCAAAGGTGTCTCCTCAATGTCACTCCATTCCTGCGGTGGCACCACAAATTGCTCCTTTCGGCGCGCCCTGGCCAAAAGGAACACCTTGACCGCCTCAGTGAGAAACGCCAAAGAACCCGCGGCGACGCACGTGAAGACGAACCCTGCATAATTCCAAAACAAAACAACGCACGAAATGAGGTCAGATATCTGCATAATGGTCGGACGACGACTCACCGGTGAGGGTGGTCACCTTGAAGCCGGGAAAGAGAAACAGCCCGAGCTGGTAGCCTGCCCAGAAGGTGCTCTCCATCGCTATCAACCCTGGACAATTTCAATTATTATGTTTCCATGCCAGAGCTTAGGCGTCAGCTGACTTTGACTGATAAAAGTTGAGGACGAGCAGGGTCGGCCGGCGCGCTCTTTAGTGCTCGGCTGCCGAGAACGGGGGCCGGACATCTCGTAGACGAGCACCGAACTAGCGCTCGGAACGGCGCCAGGCCCCGGTGCTCAAATTTGCCCTCTGAATAACAAGTTCAGAACTAATAAAATATCTTTCTTAAAACTCACTTATTACAATAACATAAAAAAATTCTCATTGACAAAAATGCAGGTTGATAAAATGATTTAAAAAATATAATACAGAGTCAAAAGCAGGTCAAAAGTAAAGCAATTTTTGTTTATAATTTCCATAAAATTTGTACTTTATATTTTGATATATTTACAAAACTGTATGAATTAATATTTTTTTTTATTTTGCAGACGTTATAAGTCAATTTGCTTTTAAAGTCATGCCAGCATGTCGGATAGGCAGCTGTGTAAAACGTGTCAAATCAATATTGAAATTAAAATTAAGATGTGTGTTTCTTTCATTTATATTGGATCAAATATAATACATAAATATAACAATTGAATAATTGTAAAAATTTGTGACATTGAATCACGCTGAACGTATTATCAGTCCATACAAAAATTTTTGAAAATTAGCAAAAATAATAACAAACAAATATTAAAATAGTAAAAAATAATAATAATTGAGCTTTATTATAAAAGAAAAAGCAAAAAACAATTTTATTTGTATTGCATCGCATTTTACCACCTCCTCACTGCATAGTGGTTTCTCATTAAATTTTAGTTTTTCATCTTTTTTTTTTCAATCAAAATTCAAAATTATCTTCTGTCCAATGCTGGATTGCTGGAAAGGCACAACTCAGCTCCTGGAATCAGATAAAACGGAAAAATATATATGGGAGTTCTATTTTAAATCGTTTCATAGATAGAAAATTTTGAAATTGTCATAAGGGTAAGAATTAAAATTTTTCCTAAAGTTATGGGAATTGAAAATAAAAATGGATTTGTCAACTTTCTTTTTAAATTTTACAGCTTAAAAAAATATTGGTAGAGGGATAGAACTTCACGCTTGCCCATATAAGTTTGATGATAGTGACCTGTGACGTCATTTGTAAAAAAAAATCAGGTTTATAATAATTTTATCATCTACATGCATGACGACCCGTACGATGTATTTCTTAAATTATTTTTGCCCAAGAAAGGAAAACACGTGCGTTCCATCTGTTGTGGTAATTGAATAGAATTAATTTTCATGTAAAAGAAAGGCCTGTGTTTTTCGTACTTTGAGAAACTGGAGGGCTCGCGCCGAATTGCCGTAAGCGTTGAGGCGCGGCGAGAAGAGACCGACGGCCAGCTTCTTGTGGGAAACAGCGACGAGCCCTCCGGAGACGCCGCTTTTCGCGATCAGGCCGGTCGAGGCGAACAAATCGCCCGTCTCTTCATAGAGGCCCGCCTGCATCATTTGCGCCAAACAGGCCTGCGCCACGCGAGCCTCCAGAATTCGCACGCCCGACCTGCCGGTGCCGTTTTTCGCCAGCATCAAACCGAGGTGCGCTAATTGCCGCGTGTTCACCAACAATGAACAGCACTGAAAATTAAAAGAAAAATTAAAAATTTCAAAATAAAGTTATTCCCTTTTTTTAAATGTGGTAAAATTTACTATATTTGTAAATAATATAAAGTTATTGTTTAATTATTGGAAAGTTTCTTTCGCCCTGATTTTTTAAAACCACCAGCCTGTATGAAAGTTTTGTATTTGCAGGAAAAATACCGTTAAAACTTAATAGCTGTTCACAAAAATTATATAAATAAAAAATAATGCTTACACTTGTATAGAATTGAAGAATGTCTTCGCAGTCAGTTTGCAGTGGAATGGCGCCGCTTTCTTGGAGTTTTGAGATAATGGTTCTGTTTTTCCCTGCCGTTGCGATTTCAGACAGGTACGTTTCATAGTCACATTTAATAGGACCACCACAGATACGCTAAAAAAATTAATTTATTCAAGTTTTTACTTATTAAATTATAATTTCTGAGAGGATTTCATGTTATTCAGATGCATCAAATCTAGAAGCCAAAAATAATGATGATTTTTTTGTATATAATCTGCAATGAAATAAATTCTCGTTCCATTTTGATTTATTTTGAGTCAAAATTAAACATTTTGAAAAAACAAATGTGTCTGTAGGATATATTTGTATGATGTATTTGGGCAGAGATTACCTTTTGATACAACAATAAACTTCATTTGCCACTATAGGAGAAAACCAACCTTGACAAAAGCCTGGAATTCAAGAAACACTTGGTACCAAGATGTGAGATCAGGGTGGACACGGTTAAGAATCAAAAAACTCGCGGTCAAGGCTCCACTATTTAAACAAGCGTTTGGAGCACAGCCTGTAATAAATTACCAATTAATAAAATGAGTATTGGTTTTTGCACATAACTAATTAATTTTACTTAAAATTGTCCTTAAATCAATAGAAAAAGTGTAAAAAGTTTATAAATTCTGGAATAAAAATATAAAACACATGCTAAAAATTAAAATCGTGGAAATAAAAAAAATATAAAAGGTAGTTAATATTTATTTTTATTAAATAAAAAATAAATATTCCTTTTAAAACATAATAAAAACGCATAAAAGAGCCGTAAATTACACCAATCATTTTAATACATTGAAATGTGTTTAGATTCTTCCTTGTTAATGAAATTTAATATTGATTTTCAAACCTTCTACAATTGCATCTGAGTTGTAGGGAACTGCAAAGCCACGGCACTTGATGTGATCAAAAACCTCCTCCATGCCGAGGTGATTGGCTGCATAAGCATACAGCAGAACTTTGCTTTTTTTTTAGACAGAAAAAAATAATATTAAATTTTAAAACTCGTCATGCGAAAATTACAATAATTGCTTACACAATTGACTGAATGGTGAAGCGCGTGTCGGTAGCAGGTCCAAAGTTCACGACCTGGTTAGTCTCGACCAACATGACGGTGGCGGCCCATAACGACGGGTCCTGCTTTTGCAACTCGGGAATCGACGAGTTCAGTATTCCAGTATCATTCTGCTCGCAGAGTTGAAAGATTTTGCGTAGCTGATTTTTCAGGGCGGCCCAGCCGAAGTTACTAAAAAAGAAATGGAAAATAAAATACGCTTTTCTTTATTGATTTTACAGAATTTTTATTAACTTTAAAAGTAAAATAAATTATATAAGAATTTATTGTAAAATTTAAGGTGAAAAAATCATACTTTGCGGTGATAATCGGCTTAAGGACCAGAGCATCACATTCATCATTTTTTTCACAGTCCAAATTTTGCTGAAAATCATAATCAATTCCAAAATATTAATAATATATTTTACCAGTATTTTGCATTATACTTTATTTGTTTAATTTGTTTTAAGGTAATTTGCTAGTTGATACTCAACGCGCTCAACACAGACAATTGAAATTTTTTTTTTTTTTATTAACTCTTCATATTCATCAGAACTTATCATTCCATTATTTAATAATTAATTATCCCATCCCACTCAGAAAAAAAATTTATTATCAAAAATTAAAACTTCCCTGAGTTAGTCCGCAAAGTTTTATGAATTGCGAAGCATAAAATAAAATATGATGGAAGGGGTAGTTGACCTAGGTGAAACCTTGCCACGTGTAAGAGGAAAATTTATAATTAAATGAAACTTTGGTATATAATTCAATTAAATTTACTTCCTATTAACCTATGCTCAACTCTGGATCAACCCATATAAATTCATCAATAAGTTATAGTTCAAAATTTAGAATTGTGTGTAACGAAATAAGATCGAATTATTAGATTTCTGTGCTTTTTTCCCTTTGCCAATTTTTTTCATTTTATCTTAATTTTCCTTTATATCTGACGTTGCATGAAATTTTGGTTCTAGATTTTTTTCAACCCAAAATCATTGAAATTCGAACAGAGAAAACTTTAATTTTTAGCAGCCAGTCCGAAAATAGCCCAACGAAGGCAGCACGCCGAGTCAGCAGAAAGGGAATAATTAACTGTGCCGGGGTGCGAGGGTGGATTTGGGTTGCGTTGTTTCGGCAAGTTGGGCGCGCGTCGGGATCAAGGTTAAAAGGTCACGCAAGTTTTGCACGGCGTCACGTGACCCGAGGCCAATGAGAGTGGTTGGCGCGGGTCACGTGGAGGGTGCGGAGGCGCAGGCAGACCGGCCATGCCACGCATCGAGGGTTGGGAAAGGCGGGCGGGGTTCGCACCGCCGATCAATGAATGTCGGCCGCCGCCAACTGGCGTCTCCGAAACAACCCTGTTACGTATGCAACCGGCTCGACCGGCACGCACACCACACTGCCTACTCAGTAAAAGTGAATCACGATTGACGGTTCGCGGAACTAGCGTTGCGACTCATTGACAATTATTGACAATTCAAGCAAATGCCCCAAACGATGCTGGTTACCAGTGAATCGGTCGCAGGAAAATATAAAAAAAGATCTAGAATAATATTAATATTATGGAATAAAAAAGAGAGGGTTTGTTTTATATTAATAGTGGCGGCGAGCACCGTTTAATTCTCCCAAAAGTGCGCACAGAGCTCGGTCCGAGTCGCGGATCAGTGCATGGAATTCCCTGCCTTCTGCGTTAAAAAATTGTACGGTTCCTGATTTTAAAATTGCATGCAAAATATATGTAACCCTTTGAAAATTTTTTTTCCCACTTACGGCTCCAGTTCGGCGAGTAGGTTTAAGTTGGAAACACTTTTGCTTCCAAATTGAGCTTATGAGTTTTAGTAAGTTGTTTACTAGAGCTGGCTGCCAATTCTCTCCCAATGTGATTTTCTAATTTTTGTTTGACTTGTTGCGAGAGAATAAATGAATTGAATTAAGTTTAAAAACAATGAAAAGCAATAAAAAAAGTATATGATTATTATTTTCATTGATACAAATATTTTAGGATAATATTTAATTTTGTCTGTTATTTAAATTTAAAAAGTGAGTTTAATATTGATTTTTTTTCTAGAATAATTTTCTTTATTTTCAAGACATTTATATTTCTAAAATTTTTAAATTAAATTTTCTTGTTCTTTTTCTAGACTGAAAATTAAACTTCCTTTGATGAAGGTGAAGGGCAGAGTTGCGATATTTAATTAAGTAATAGAGCTAATAATAATAAGAGCTGATGCGCTAATACTAGATCAAATGCATATTAAAGATGAAGTATATATTGAAGTGCAGAATTATTTCAAATTAAACGGTGCTTGAACAGTTTAGTCAATCATTTTTGAGTTTTGAGAATATTATTATGTTAATTACTTTGAAATATTTCATAAACTAACACATAATAATTATCACTGTTTATTTCTATTTAGATCATTTTTCAATGCTGATTGAGTGGCATTGATTAAGAAATACGTGTGCCAATTAAAAAATTGCAAATTTATATGGAATAAATACAATTTAGTGAATAACAAATAAAAATAATTATATAATCACACAAATTAATGTCTGTGTTGAAATATTTGAGCAAAAGTGGCAACATTGAATTGAATTGAACATAATTAACGGAAAGTGCAACGCAAATAAAAATAGTAAACTAATGAACTTTGCACAGCATTCAATGAGTGCGAGGGATATTATTTTTTTATTCCTTTTTTGTAGACAGAGAAGGAGTCAATTCAATTAGTTCTGTGATGAAGCCACAGCCAGACAGGCAAACTTTGATTAAAACCTTTCTAGCCGCAAATAAAACCAACTGTGTGGGCTGCGCTCGTTAATTCAGTTGCTTAAGGAGGGTGTCGAACTTGTGAGTGTGTTTTGTTGGCGTCCAAACGCGTTCCTCGCCTCCTAGTTCTCTCTCAATTAATTTATAAACAAAAAGAAGCCCAACAAGTTTTATTCTCGCTCCTCCCCGCCGAGTCATTTGCAGAGGAATAAAACCGCGACGCAAAAGAGAGCAGAAAAAAACCAGAAAAATATTATTATTTAAATTTAATTGCGCGGAAAGGATTGTTTCTTCTAGAATATCAAATAACGAAGAGAAATTTTTTGGTCCGAACGTAAATGGCCGTTCCTTAGAGTTCATTTCGCAAAAGTGCGCTCAAAATTCCTCAGCCCGAGTCGATCTGCCAGATATTGGAACGAATCCAAGCAATCTTCGCACAATTGCTATTTCACGACCGGTCGCTGAAGCTGCGAAAAAAAACGTCTGCGGTCCAATAAACCAGGCGGAATTTTCTCTGAATCAGAGACTTTTGCAGAAAATAATTGAAAATGTTCGAGAAAATGAACGCAATTGTAAAATGAGTTTCCCCTAAATGGTCATAAGTGGTAAAATGTTATTAGCGCATCAAATTAGCAAATTGAAACACAAATCCTCGCAACGTCTCCATAAGCTTATATATAATTTCTGTAAATGCAAAAGTTTAGTGTCGGTGCGCACACTTTTGTAATTGCTGCGGCGTGTTTAATTAATTGCGCATTTAACCGTGACATGAATGCAAAACTCCAATTACGCGCGTTTCATAAGCACCTTATATAGCAAAAATCTAATTTGCATATGATTTAAAAAAATTATAGGGGCTTAAGTGAGTGTATTTTAAAAATATTAAAAAGTTAATGTTAGCTGAATTTCTACATGAAGAGCTGCTAAAGGTAAATGAACACAACATTTCTTTTGAAGATCAAATTTCTTTTTAAAACTAATCATGCTGGAAAGTTCTGCTTTTTTAGAGTAAAAAATAAAATTAAAATAATATTAAATCTTACAAATATTTTGAAGCAATTCACTCTGAATTATTCAGGTAAATTCTTTCCCAAAAGATTTATGGTCACCTATATCAAATTTCACATTATTTGAGCTAGCGAAATTAATGTCAGTATAGCTTTCTCTCACGTTTAGAATTTAACTTTCTTCATAACTTCATAATTTTCTGTCAATTTCTTTAAAAGTTTGGAAAAATTTAGCCGTGTTTGGCATTTTATTATCTGAAAGTTTAATAAAATAAAATAAATAGCTATTAAGCAAATCTATTTTTTATACTTTTGGTAAGTCAACTTTTATCAATTCTTGTATAATAAATTATTCTATTTCGGCAGATAATACATATTAATAATACATGTACATTAATAATAAACACGGAAACTATAATAAAAAGAAAATTCCAAAATGTTTAATATTAGAAATAAGAAATATACATGACACAGTTCTACTCCCAGAGTTTGTTAATAGATTTGTGTTCATAATATCCAGAACTTGATAGACTCTATTAATGCACCCTAACAGAAGCGAATTATATTCATCCCTTGCTTGCAAAGATGGAGCTACACCGATTTGGAACTTAATTTTAGAACAGGAAGCGACCAAGGTGATCTCATTAAATTCCACGTCAAAACGCAGAAGCTAATTTGCTATCTCGCGCAGCAGCAGATGAAAGCAACTCATATATTTTATACACAAATTGACCGTTTGAAGCCGTAAATAAATATTTTGCGACGAACTAGAGTATTTTTACTCACCATGGTGCTGAAATTCGGCGGAGTCGATCTGAGTAGATGAGTTGGCTGACAAAGTGCGGGTTGGTTTGTTCTGGCTTTTCGGTATTTATACGCTGGACACAAATTGAAATTTCAAAAGGAGGGGACGTTTTGTAATGGTGTCCCTTTCCAAATATTGCAAAAACCACCTTGTTTTTTGCGTCTTGGCGACATCTCATCATGGTAGACAATTAGCATACGACATAAAATAAAATTCAGTCGCCACAGTATAAAATATTATCAAAAGAAAAAAGTGGAGCCGGCGTTCTACTCGTCAACATCGTTCTACAGACGTCATTCAAGCCTGGAGTGTTTTTATATTCATTTAAATTGTTAGGATTAATTTGAGTTACAAACACAAGTTATATCGAGATGAAACCAGTATTCAAATAAGCAGATTTTAGTGAAATACGCAGATTTAACAAAATAATAGACAAGTAGTAAACTGTACTAAAATTAGCTTTTGAAATAATGATACCCCAAAATTGCCTGGATTAAGAATTAATTATTCATAAACAATTATCATTCCAAAATACTATGATAGTAATAAAGCCTCTATAAAGTTTTTTTGCCTGTTTTTTTTTCAACTGAAAACAAATTCACCGTTTTTAACACGCTTCTGTCTTATTAAAAAGGAGTGGAGTAGCGCAATATATTCCATTTGGGATTTTATAATAAAGAAAAAAAATATTTTAATGTTATTAATTTCTTAACAATATATGAATATTTGGTTCTTAAATATTGTATCCTTCATTTATTTTGTGAAATATAAAATATAAATCAAAAATAAAAATTTTCTTTTCATTTGCATGTTTGTGATTTTTTTTCAAAGTTTCTACTTTGACGCAAGCAAGCAAGCAAAACAAACATACCACCGTCATTTCCGGCTGACAGCGGAAAAGCATAATAATTGAAAATGTGAGCAGAAACAAACTGACTCTATACAGTTGAATAATGTTGAATTTTCAGATGTAAAAGTTGATAAAATATAATGATGCGGAAGAATTTCTTTACATGTACTTGCTTAGTAGCATGGGTATGTCAGTTTATCGATTTAATAATTTTATTTTTATTTTAATATTAACTATTATTTGAAAGTACATACAGGAGATCGGAGCTCAGGGCAGTTGTAGGAATTATCAGAAAATACAAGAGGTATGTTGAATAAATTCTCTTTAATTATAAATCCGAATTAATCAAACTAAATTCAAATAGGATTTTTACGATAACGTGACTCCTGAGGGTATAGAAGCTGCTTTATAGGGGTCAATTTTGGGAAGATAAATAATAATAATTTTTCCCCAGAATATGTGCCGGCATATCAGAGTTGGTGTTTTTATTTCATTATGAATTGATGAATATAATAATATAATATTAAATCACAAATTATTTCGTGAGGTTTACAAACTCAAGTGGCTGAGGAAAGGCGCAATGTGTGGGGAAGAATAGTGCCAGAAAAGAATCGACTCTACTTTGAAAGTCTTTTAAAAGTAAAAGTTTTTATTTATTTGAAGCGTAAGAAAAACGTAAAAAATTGCAATAAATATTTAAAATTTTCATACTTTTTGGGACCCTTTACCAAAATTGAACCTTAAGAGTTTGAACAATCACTCATTTTATCCCTGTATTTTATTAAATACCTTTTTTACTTGAAACTCCATTAATAATATGTATTAATTCACTAATTAGTGTTTATTCTTCACTTTCACATAAAAAAAAAGTGTAAAAGCGTATTTTTTATATATTTCTTTAACAGATGAACTATGAGAAATCTCTGAAAGGCTGTTTGCTTCGCAAAATGGAGCTAATTTTTTTCAAATCTGAAATCAAGTCCTGGTGCTCAGAGACACTCCAACCCGGTGAAACTGGTAAAGAGATTAAAAATTTGAGCTATGCTAGAAGGTTGTGGAATTTGCAGAAGGGCTAAAAAAAGTGCGATACATTTGGACCAGTGGCGTTCCTTGCTCGCGAAATGACCCAGTCACAAACTCCAAGTGCAGCAGTGTAACCTGGTGCTCGAATAACTCCACCTTGCATCTCAATTACACAATCAAAGTGTCCGGAAGAGGACCACATTGCGTTGCACTCGACAAACGCTCTTGCCGCTTTGTGGCCATGAATTGCAGCACAGCGAATTACTTCGTGTGTGCGGTACATTTAATTTCATTTTATACAAATTGCATAGTAAATTTGAACACCTTTTAAAGTACAAATGCCAAACAGCTACTTGTCCAAAAATGGATATGTGCAAGAGAAACGTAAATTTTATTTATATATAAAAAAGCTGCCTTTTTTCTATTATTTTTACACTCTAGGAATCTCTTCTAGTGAACATTAATGGCGAAGTTTTGATCAAAAGTTTTTTTAATAATAATAATAAGAACAGTTTAGCAAATTCAAATTAAAATTCTCGCTTTAGATTATGAGGAATATGGTGCCTGGATAAAATCCTCTGTATCAAATAAAACATACCTGATGGGACGAAAATTAGTAAATTCTCCTGGATTTAATTACAGTGTTTATTTGTTATAATTCGATCACCCAGGTGACTTGGAATGAAAATTGGGAACTTTGTTGCTCTCTTGGAATGAAACCTTTGGCTTTAATTGACGATTTGCCGTATGGTATTCAATTATGACATTTTTTCAACCAGAAAATATTTTTTGGAATTTTAAAAGAAATAATTGAGGACTCTTCTGGCCCATACTGGACAGCTGCGACGAGATCGGGCTGCGCTGGCCACCTGAGAAGTTGCTTCCAAGAAAAAGATTACACCGGTATAGCTTTCAACCTATACCAGCAGCCAACTGAAGGAACATGCGCCTATTTGACCGATATTCAGGATCGAATAGTTTTGCGTGCCCAATGCAATAGTTACCAACATTTAGCCTGCGAAGGAAAATGCGTTCTTCGAGCTAACCTCAGAGACGTAGTTTATTCACTGATTTATTGTGAATGTAAATAAAACCTAACTTTACAGGAATACCCGTTGAAAATGTGTGCAGGGCCCCCGGAGTGCCAAGAAATGAAATGCCCTATTGATCGAATGGCTAGTTTTAAATTAATTTTGAAGAGTAGACATGATATTGTGTAAATTAGGGGTTTCCTGACGACATACCGGACACAATGGATTTGATTTCAAAATTAATAGTTAAAAGTATTTTACATTTTCATGGTAAAAAAGTGAAGGATTAAATTTTCAATGGGAAAAAAATTAAAGAACCAAACTTTGGAGGAAAGTGGCTCGAAAAATGTGGTCTTATATTTTTAGTCTCTTCACTAGAGGTGTTATAAAATTATTAAATTGATTTGATCAAAAAAATTTATTATTTGAATATTAGGTGACTTGGCTAGAGGCTCAAGAAATTTGTTGCAATTTAGGGATGGGACTTCTGACTCTCCAAAATGAACAGAAACAATCATGTCTTGCTGATATAATTGGTTAGTAAATTTTTGTTTGCGCATCGTTCATATGTGTATTATTATGTTAACAAAAAGATGGTTCACAATTTTGGACCGGTGGAAGAAAATCGGAGCACTGCCCAGGAAATTTCCAGTGGTGCACGCCAAATTTGAAAGATTTTTTGAGATCAACCTTAAAGTGGAAAGAAAACAGCCAAGCGTCGGGTGAATGCATTTTCCTAGATGTGAATAGTACAACTCGTTTTGAGGGGCCTAATTTGGCAACAGCACATTGTCTAGAGAAGAAACGCTTCATTTGCGAGGTTTTTATATTTAATAAATTTTTCTCCATCTTATTGATACCTTTTTGCAATAGGGAGTAACTCTGCGTCTGACAGCATTGACGGGATTGGTGACAGAATGCCTCAATCTTCATGATGTGTCTATTCGTAAAATTCACGTTTTGAATTTGAAACGCATATACTTTACTTATCATGTATTTCTTTAAATAGGAGAGCGGAGGAAATTTTCTGCTGATACATACATGTCAGTCAGTTTTGCGATGAAGGTTTAATTCAAAATTTATTTGCAGTAAATAAACCATCAAAGATTAATGTGTAATTCCAGCAAGCGATTCAGTGCATATCTGAAAAAATGGGAATGGTGATCATTTTTCTTATCCACCCAATTTTTCCATTGAAAATTAAGTGCATTTTTTTTAAGGTTTACAATCTCACTAAAATAAGAGAAAAAACTGTGGCGTGTTCTTAGTAAAATTGAGTAAAAAAATTCCCAACCCTTTAAATGCCAACAATAATGATTCATATTTTACAGACCAAAACGATGCATGAACTTGCTATGGGGTTTTGATGAGTTCTCAAGCCAGTATTTTGAAAATCTGTTATGAAATGATAAAAAAAATTTAATTTTATCCTTTTACAAAAGAGAAACTTTGTTTGGTGTTGGAACTTTTGAGGCACAGGCGTTTACGATGCAGTTGATGAAAACCGCGGAGAGGATTGAAAAGATGCATGGCCCGGAGAAAGCAGCCAAGTTTAAATTTGATATGGGTTTTCAGCACGAAGTCACAAAGCTTGATATCAATAACAATGAAATTCGTATCGAGCTCTGGCAGAAGTACAAAAAGTGCTTGAAATCGTCTTTCTCTGGTGAGTAAATAGTACGAACAAATATTAAAATTCATTCTAAATCAAACAGACGAGGAGATGACAAACTTTTATGCTTATGCATTTTTCAAGTGCGTCATGAATGGCTCGGAAATACTTCAAGATTTCTGGAAGAGATACTGCCCTCAAAAAGTAAACTGTATTTGCAATTGAATAATTTATGTAACCAATATATGGAGTTGTTATAATAATGGCTCAGTTTTAAATTAAATTTATTTGATTGCACGCAGATGGAATTTTCAGCACTTGGACCGGCTCGTCGATTTAACTCAGAGTGTCACATCGTTAAAAAACCGATAGGATGTATTTTTTTGAAATAACTATTGAACATAAAATTTATGTAAATTGATTTCATAAATGTCATCAATAGGCCCGACAAAAACAATAATAAGAGGCAACAATAATCTACTTCTGACGATTCAAAACACTACTGGAAAAAAAGGAAATGTAAACGTTTATTAATTTTTTTTTATATAATTTTTTTTCTTTTTAATAAATTTAAGTAAAGCAGACATTTTTACTCGCTCCAGGTTTTTGAAGCAATACATAAGTGCGCGGAATTGAACGCTGACCTCATTTATGCTAAGTCCAAAGAAGAATTGACGCAAATCTTGGAATTGCTGCCAAGTATGTAAAATTTTAATTTCAATTATCCTCAAGACTTTCATGATCAAAAACGCTCGTAGGTATTAAAAAAGAGGTTGTTTTATGGAACTTCGTAGCAGAAACGATCGGAAAAGATTTTTTGTGGTGTTGCCAGGAGTGCCCAGAAGACGGGAATAAGTCATCTGCTTTTCCATTGGTAAAAGAAGATGTCAACAGTCCTTCGTTGATAATAAGCCGTCCAAGTAAAACAGACGGCGAACTGGAGTTCCAGAAACTGGCCCTTATTGAAAGTGTACCCCTGCTAAGAATTTATTGTCGTCTTGATCCACTCTATGAACAGGAGTGCTTTAAAAATGGGTGACGTCTGCAGAAGTTGTCAAGAATACTGTTTGAGCGAATTTCTTATCATTCAAATCAAAAGCCTAATGTCTGAAATTAATTTTTAAAATTTCATTCACTAATTTTGATCAATGAAGTACACATAAGAATCTGGAAAAAAGGGGCAAATTCATTAAAAAAATTTACCGCCAACTTTCATTTAAAAAAGGATCATTTTCGTTCTGTATTTATTTTGCTGTAATTTTTCAATGTTATTGTGCTTTATATAATATTTACAAGTAAGGTTAAAAAGGAAAAACCTTATTTTAACTAATACTTTTTATTAAAATTTTTTAATTAATATTATAGTATTTCATTTTTAATTTTTTATATTTAATTAAATACTATTGGACATTATAATGTTATTGTACAAATTAAAAATGCTATTTCTGCATAGAAATCTGTTTTTTACAAATTTTATTATAAACTTTTTAATTATTAAAAATTGTACATAATAATATTGAGCAAAAATTAAAATTATTCCAGCTGAATTTAAAAAGGACGTCAGTTGTGGATAACTTGATTTAATTTGAGTAGGAAATATAAAAATAAAGGAATTAAAATTAGCCATATAAAATTGTAAACTGATGAAGAGATAAATTTCGACTGCTTTTACTCTAGTCTATTAAGAAAAAATGAGACACTTAAGAGATTTATTATATTATTCCTGCAAAAATACCAAAATAAATTAGAGATGCAATAAAAATTTAATCATGTAATTTAATCAAATTTGGTTCAAAAATAATTATCAAATGAAAGTGCAGAAGTGATAAAAACAAAATTAAGGAAGTTCACATCCTTGTTCCTTGTTGTGGTTTTCACCGAAATAAAATGATGCAATTGCGTCCCAATGTGTCGCGAGCCCCTTCTCGTCACCAATGCATTTTCCCCACGCGCGTGCACCTGCTAAATATGTTAAAAAGCGATCGAGTGTAACCCATTGAGCGACTACGTCATTCGGATGTTGGAGGTCTCGCAGCTCGGGTGGGAGGTGGCACGGGGGACTAAATCAGGGGTCGCTCGTGCGGCGCATGTCTCGCGGAGGCGCCCAGCTCGGCTTGTCTCACCGACTCCGAATTCGCCGGCAGGGTAGTGTGCTCCTTGCGAACGCAACTTAGCACATCGCACCCGACCGACGTCCGAACAACGTGCCGAACTCAACCACCGACCAACACTCTTCTTTCGAGGCCTTCGAGACCTGCACATCAGGAAAAATCTCCTCTAAGTGTTGAATCCGCGTTTTTTTCCGAACAGAGCAGAGCACCACGGCCGAAAAGAGCGAAGGCACTCTGGCGTTTGAGGGGTCTTCTTTCGGCAAGGTCCCTCTAAGACTTTGATTCACTGAGACTGTCTTGTGTCATGATCGGCGCTAAATACAATCAGCCCATCTACAGCAATTTCTTGAGCCTGCTGCACTCTCAAAATTTTGAAACTAGCGAGACATGCCTCGACATGTTCACCAAGGTGAGTCACTTATTTTCAATAATTTTTAAATACAAAAAAAGTTGATAATTCTAAATTAATAACTAAAATAAAATTGCAAGAATGAAAAAATTTAAGAATTTAACTAAATTTATTGAAACGATTCTTTCGTGGAAATATATATTTTTTTTTTAAATTTTCGAAGAAACATTTTTCTAAATTTTTGTACTTAACATGACTAAGCTGCATGATTCAAAATTTTGCAGACAATGAGATGATAAAAACTTTATTTCTGGTGAATATTAATCATTGACCGCGTGTCACGCTGGTTGCCTACCCTTTTTTCATCTCTATAGAAACTTTCCTCATTCATATACAGTATGACGGCTGAACTCTGTCTGGAACCGCAGCAGCCCTTAACAGAGTTTATTGTTTGAGTTTCGCGAATCGTGCGTCCGCATTATTTGAGCAAAGTTTGCAATGATTTCGCGTTGTGGGAGCAAAAGAGAGAGAGAGACCGTGTGCCGCTGGTCCAATAGAGGCTGAGCGCGGCCCAGGATCAATACTCACTGTGCCACGAGGAGTGAGACTCAATCAAGGTGACGACCAACGTCAACTTTGTCTGAAGGAGGCGACGGTGGCTGGAACTGCCGCCAAATTGCTTTCAGAAGGCAGCAAGGCCTTTTGCAAATTACCTGCAGTAGCCAAAATGACAGGAAGAAATGAAATTGACAAAATTTTGCCTCATTCACTTCCAATCATCATAAAATTGAAATAATGTTGCTTTATTATCCTTTTATTTCATAGTTTCCGATTTATTTTGAGTAACGAAATCGTGCTATCGTCAAGCAAGTGAAGGTAGATTTGACGGCAAATTTGAAAAATTTAAGAATAATAATGTGAGGAGAAACCACAGTTATGAATTAACAATCTATTAATTAATAATGAATAACGCATAAGTGCAGAGATATTTTTATATTGTAATTTCTTTCAATACGTTTTCAGAAGAAAAAAAAACAATGTTAAATAATTCTTTTTAGCACACATTTGCGAATTGCGCTAATAGTAAACTCTTCGTAGTTGCTTTTTACAAAGTTTAAATTTATAAATAATTTAAAAAATTTTTATAGTAGTAAAAGCTTTTTAAAGTAATTCAAAATTAATAGATTTTAGAAATCCTAAATTAATATAATTAATTAATAATAATATTGTTAAATTTTGTATTAAAACTTGGTAATATTCCTTATTTATATTTAAAAAATCTTCAACTATTTTTATTTTTAGACTCATTTTTCAATATGAAGTTGTAAATATTAATTAATTTTCATCGATATTTTAAATTAGTTTAAAAAAGTGTTGCACAGCGTCCATCTTCAGAATGCTTGTTGAATTTGCTTAATTTATTACATTATGGTATAATAGATAAGCAAAGTAAAATAAATCTTCGGAAAAAAATGAGTTATAAACTGTTTTCATGATCAAAATTTTCATCCTCAAATGTTGAGATGCACAGCTTAAATCGCGATTTCAAAATTATTCAAATTCTTTTCATTGAACTACAAGAGTAAATTTCCTTACTCACACCTTTTTCTATTGTCACTCTTTTTTTTACATGCCCACTTGTCCGCTTTTCACGCCTCGGGCCTTTCCGCGGAAAAGCAAGTGTGTTTCTTGAAAGGGGTGTGTGCGTGCCTACGTGCAGTCGGAAGCATCGCCCTTTTGCAGCAGTATTTGCACGAGCGCCACCGCGAAATTCGCACACGCGGAAAGCAAACTTCATCAACCATCTCGCCGCCCTGCTAATGGGTTTTCGTTGGTCGAGCCACTTGAGCGGCTTCTGCGACAACGGACTCAACAATTTGCATTGCAGATTTACAGTTGTGTTGTTCACCGTGCCAATGAGTGCGTAAGCGTGCACCGAATCTACAGCGATCTCTGGTTCTGCACGAATAGAGAGGGGCTTGAATTTGTGTTAGTCCTCGAAGCCAAAAGACCGAATTTTATTTACCTGTCGTTAAACTGAAAAATATTAAGGTATTAAAATTATTAATTCAGCCTTTGACCTGTTCAAAATATTATAATTTCAAAGAATAATTCTTTATGTTGTGGTTTGTATAAGAAAAACGTTAACTATTGTTCAAAAACAAAAAAGTCAGTTTTGTTGCATTGAATTGGAATTCATTTCTGTATAATTGAAACTCGGTTTACCTCATTGAATTTCATGAGACTTTCTTGTATTTTTCTTCTGGTGTTTCTGAAAATGATCAGCGATGTTGTTTTTTTAAGTAAAATATTGAAGCGAAACATAAAATTTTAAGTCTCTCATACAATTCATCGAGGGAATTTGAGATTCTGCTAAACACACAAGTCATTGTGTTTGCAATTTTCCACGTGTTTTTCTTTAGGAATGTAACATCAAAATGATTAATGTCCACTGAGGCAAATTTAACAAGTGTCAAGATAAAAATTTTATTAATTTCCTTTCTTTTTATTTCCTAGAAGCACGAATATGTAATTTACCTATCCTTATATTTGTTTCAAAATAGAGTCCAGAAAAAAAGGAAATTATGCATTAATTTTTTTTAACCCGCAAATATTTTGAACTCTTATTATGTGCATTCAGATAAATGAAGTAAAAATCTCTTAATTAATTTTTCTCGGTTCTTTTTATTAAATTGCAATAATTTTCTTATTTTACACACATTCGAGATTGTTCGCTCAGCATTTACGCATTTGTTGGCAATCTCGACAAGAAATGTCATCTGTCAGCAGCCAGTTTGGGTGGTCGTGACACTCCGATTTCACCATTTAATTTTTCCTCGTCCATTATTATTCCAGAGCAAGCGTATACATAAATCTTGTAAAAAGCCGACTTGTCAACGGCTTTTGTATATAATGGACCCGCGTAACGCGTTTCGCCTCCATTATTTTATCACATTGCGGCAGAGTGAAAGAAAAAAAAATATGTTTGGAGTGTCGACGGGATCGATAGATTTCGGGCCGCTTTGGTGCCGCAGTGGAGTGAGCAGCAGTCCCAAAATCCGAGACACCGGCTCAAAATAGCCGCCCAGTTACCTTAGCGTGGGTCGAAAAGCCGATGACAATATTACACGCCCGGCCACTAGCAGCCGCTCTTGTTGTGAACACAAATACTTTTTTCTATAGAGCGTAGAGTAAATAGTTACGTGCTCCTCCTCCTTTCCATTCACTCCTGGCAATTAGCGCGGTGGCTCTTGCTGATAATTAAAAAGCAAATTTGCTTTCCTCGCCGTCACGGCCTTGTTTTAATAAGAGGAGACGCCAAAGGAATTATTAAATTGCAAATACATACGTGACGCAATGATGAGATTCCGTCTCGGCCGAAATGAATGGGTGTCCTGTTTTTTGCTTTTGGAGCGGACTTTCCTGCTTTCCACTTTTTTGCGCAAATGAAAACGGGATGGCATCGAGCGGCTGCCAATTCTTTTAATAAGAGTGTATCTGCGGTTAAGATTAGTGCGGTCTGGCAAACACAAGACATATTTTACCTCAATTCTAACTTCCGTTTGAAAGTTCTAAGCTTATGAAAAGTCAATGACTAATTTTTTAATTAAAAATATTCAGAAAAGTTTAGATTCAATTCAAGCTATGCAACAATGACTCCAAACGAATCAAATCTAAAAAAAATCATCCTAATTACAAAATGCTTTGATTAAGATTCCAACTTTGTATTTTAATCTTCACAAAATTTCATCCAAGGTGATTTACTCAGAAAAAAGTAATTTCCACGATTTTTAAAAGCAATCATGATTATTAATGATGTTTCATTCTTTCCAACTTTCACCTTACAAACGTAGCATTGCAATTTTTTATGCAATATTATTAATTAGCCAAAACTAATTGCATTTTGAAATAATCATTTGATATTGATATCTTTTCCAATTCAAATGTACAGATTTTTATTGGCGTCTTTTATGTTTGAAATTCTGGGCATTAAGTTATTTCAGCCGACGTCTAATTGAAGTTCAATTAATTTAGTGAATTTTAGATCAAACAGCGGTACAAAGCTACTTTTATTATTATTATTTGAAATTTTAACCTGCGGACTATGATAAGACGTGTTTGATTAACTCCAAAATAAAAAATAATTCACTTGAATTAATTTAACAATTTTTGGTGTAAATAAAATGCATGAAAATTTGCACATATTCTGGTAACTTTTGGAAGGCCAGAAATAAACTGCGTGCTGGAATGTCGGTCATCCAGCTGCGAGAGCCAAATGTCAAGAGACGAGTGGAGTGGCCCCTCTTCACTTGCTGATAAATTGTTTTGTAACTAACCTATGACTCGCTATAACAAATGCAGACGGTGTCCGGCCGGCGAGAGTCAAATGGCTCCTTTATTCGCACTCGACGAATATAAATACAATCCTCTGGCGACGCAGAGTTCGATCCAGTTTTGTTGAACAATGGCCGGCCTTTTTCTCTCGTTCGCGCCGATCGTGACCGAAATGCCAAATCCGACGGCGGAAAGAAAGATAAAAAAGCTTTTTGTGCTCAATCAAATTCCCGGCGCCTCTCGCAAATGGAAAAGTGTTTTAGTGGAGCTCTTGCATTTGCAGTTGGAAAGTTATGGGATATTTTCGCGCGCGCGGCACCAATTATTGTGAAACGCGTCACCAATTATTGCTCCGTGGAACAAACAAACCGTAACTCACTGAATTAAGCTGACTAATTAAATGGATGGATGTTTGCTGAAGGAATAAATATCTCTCGTAATTTTCAGCGGTAGCAGGCAAATCGGCTTTGGAAAGAAATGTTGTTGTTGTCAGGAAGAGAGCATTTTTTCGTACTTATTTTAATATTGGTTTAGAAATGTATTAAAACTTTATAAATAATTGATATAATTATTATAAATTAAAATTTTATTTAAAAAAAGCATTTCTGGATTGTTTTTATTATTATATAAATTTAAAATCAATAAAATAAAAGTTCCATTTCTTTTTTAATTATAATGTTAACTTTGTTAAAGACTAAAAAATTAAGCAAAGTATTTAGATTTAA